AAGAACCCTATGAAGTAATTATTTCACTGCACTACACATGTATTTGTCACACAACTTCTATAACTTGTCTTATTTAAAATGACTAAAGTAAATGATCTAGTATAGGACTTTTCTGGACTCTTGCTTAAGAACTCTTGCAAAAATTCTGAAAAGTGACTAGAAATGAAATCTGTCTTTTGGAAATATTATAATAAATGACTACTTGGTGAAAAGTAACAAATTCTGGTCACAATGGAGTAAATGTTAGAGTAACAAGAAGTGGCTTCACAGGGCTAAAAGGGTAAGGTATTCTGAAATGCAAAAGTGTGGTTATGAACTGAATTGTGGTTGTGGTCATGTGAGTGAATAAGGTGTTCGAGACTATAAATCCTTATTGAAGTAGAAAGCTTCATCTTTCTCCCACCTTGGAGCAGATGGTAGATTCAAACTGCTGACCTTGCGGTTAGCAGCCCAACTTGTAAGTCACTATACCATCAGAGCTTCATATGAACTGAATGGTCAAGAACTAAAGTCATTCTCTCCATTCCTAGAAGGCTTTATGATTCACATAATTTCTTCTTATTTGTGCCCACTGTTTCCAAAACAACTACTTATAATTGCACATGGTCCAGCACAACTATCTCAACCTTAATCTATATTCATATTTAAATGAAATACCAATGATTTATGCATATCAGGTGCCTCTTAGTTCAGAGTCTCAACAGGCAGAAGGAACTAGCGAAAACAGTTTATCTGAATTCTGCCAGAATTCAAAACTCTTAAATGAGATGTTCAAATGTAAGTCATCATCTGTAGACAAGAAACTGTAACCAGCTAATACAGTCCTGGCTACCAGGATGATCCTCCTCATCAATAGGAATTGTGCATAAAAACAATTGCAAAGGAAGAAAATGGAGGCTGTAGAAGTACCATAAACATTAACTAAATGTAACTGAGAGATAAAGAATCTTCATGAAGGAAAAATTAAAGTACAGTTGGAGTCTGGGTATGAGAGTATTTCAAAAAGTTCTTGGAAAAGGAACTAGCGAATAATGGAATTATTTCACAGTTTTTTGAAGACCCCTTGCAGTATTTACATAGTTATGCCACAAAAATATTATAATTGTAAGGACAGTAGTTTAGAAATTTTAATACTTGTATGCAAATTAACTACTCAACTACGGAAAAGCAATATCTTATCTTTCATGTAGACAATATAGAGAAAATAATAGGTGGACATTTAGATTGAATTTTTTAAATTGCTTACCTCTTTAAAATATAAAAAGGTAAGTTATAAAGTATTATTACAAAATCAATTATACCTTTATTAAACAAAAATATAAAAATATTAAGCTGTTTTTACATGGCATATCTTCATCTATTTCTCTACTATTCTGAAGGCAATGTTTCCATCTCTCTAACAACATCTGAAGACTTCTGCAGTCTTCAATTTATGCTATTTCAAAATGGCAGCTTTGACATACTCAATGGAATCAAATCAGTTTCCTTTTTAATATTCTTTAAAATTTGTAAATATAAAAGCTATGAAGGGGTAGGATCAAAGCTACAGAATGGATAATGTTTTCCAAATGGAATTCTAATAGGACAACCTTCCATATGCTTGGAGAACAAGCCGGTGCATTGTTGTGATAGAAAAAAGGAAAAGAAAGAAAGAAAAAAAAATCCTTGGCCCAATTATCCTGTTCTTTTTCTTACCATACAATTTTTCATTTTCTTAAAACTTCACCCTAATAAGCCTCTATAACTGTCCAATGCCCTAGAATTAAATCTATCAATATCACCCTTTGGAATCCCTAAAACACAGCCATTGAGCTATTACCTCTGCCTTGGATTTCACTGGTCAAGCAGGTCCCCCTTGGAAGCCATTGTCTTTTGTTTAGTTTTTGTTTTCATTGTAAATTGAGTGAAGGTTTATAGAGCATATAAGTTTTGCATTCCAAAACTCATGTACTTTGTTTCATCTCAATGATTGCAATCTCCTCAATTTATATCA